GTGATGCCATGGCACTCCACCCAGGGGGATAGCTTGAGGCTCCGTCTCAAAAAAAAAGGCAATGTTGGGCAGTGCCTGTGGCTCAGTGAGTAGGGCGCCAGTCCCATATACCGAGGGTGGTGGGTTCAAACCCGGCCTTGGCCAAAATGCAACAACAACAACAAAGTAAAATAAAAAATAAAAAGGCAATGTTGGCTCAATGCCTATAGCTCAGTGAGTAGCGCACTGACTGCATACACCAAACTGGTGGGTTCGAGCCCAGCCCAGGACTGCTAAACAACAATGACAACAGCAACTAAAAAATAACTGGGCATTGTGGCAGGCACTTGTAGTACCGGCTACTTGAGAGGCTAAGGCAAGAGAATCACTTAAGCCCAAGAGTTTGAGGTTGCTGTGAGCTGTGATGCCACAGCACTCTACGCAGGGCAATGTAGTGAGACTCTGTCCCCCTCCTCAAAATAAAGCAATGTTATAGTAAAACTATCCATTTATTTTCTCAAAGACTCTAGACTCTACTCATGCTAATACAAATTTTAATGAATTTCAGAAATCTAAATATCAATGCAAACAATAAGAATACTATTACTAATAATATTAATATCACCATCTCTACCATTTAGTGTCTTAATTTTTTTGTTTTTGAGACAGAGTTTCACTTTGTTGAGTAGAGTGCCATGGCATCATTGCTCACGGCAACCTCATACTCTTGGGCTTAAGTGATTCTCTTGCCTCAGCATCCTGAGTAGCTGTGACTACAGGCATCGACCACAATGCCCAGCTATTTTTAGAGATGGAGGTCTCCTCTAGCTCAGGTTGGTCTGGAACTTATGAGCTCAGGTGATCGGCCTGCTTTGGCCTCCCGTACTGCTGGGATTATAGGTGTGAGATACCATGCCTGGCTTTTTTTTTTTTTTTTTGGTGAAAATAAAGTTTTATTTTCCCATGCTAATTTATGGACCCTCTGAATTCTATACATGGAGTCCTGTGGACTCCAGGTTAAAAATCCTTGCCTTAATCATTGGTGCAAAAATGCTTGAGGTCACTGCAAATATGCATAAAGGTTTTTGTTTTTAAATGAAGGGAAAGATGGAAATGGGGAATGCTAGCATCCTAAATGCATGCTGTTTACTCTTGTACATCTTGTCAAAAGGGCTAGACTGTTAGCATGAACTTCCCAGTGGCTAAGGAAAAGGTTCTGTTCCTGACTTTCTCAGCTTAAAACCATGATTGACAAAGCCCTCGCCTAGTCTAAAATCTCAAGACCATCCCTAGGTCCTTCCACCGCCGACCTCTCCTGGTTTCTCTGGAACTGATGTCTCTTCCTTCTTACTCCCAGCCAGGTAGAAATTACTTTTGACTTTCTGCAGGAAAGCCGAGTAGTCCCAGCAGTCCACCCAGACCTGGCATTCCCAGTCCTGGCCTTAGTTTCTTAATTTAATATATAGTGGAACTTCCATAGTTGACCACCTCCCTACACTTATACCATTTCCTAAAGTTGACCTAATTTTCACAGACCAGACACACATCACATGTACTTAGCAGCATAGTAGGCCTACTTCCTTATGTTGACCACCTCCATATGTTGACTTTATTGTTACTTTATGTGTTACTTTGGTGGTCAACTTACAGAAGTTCTGCTAGGTTAAGGTACTAATTTCTTTTCCTTTCCCCACTCTTGGCTGCTAGTAGTTTAATTATGTTCAACTTATTTTAATGATTTTCCCCTACAAGGAACTTACTTTTATGCTTTGGGTAGATAACATCGAAACCAGGCAAGGGCATTACCACATCATGGATGGAGTAATTATTAACATCTTCTTCCTCAATATAGGTGGCTGTGGCTGCAAATTTGTAAGTAAACAATAAATGAAGAAAAATTAAGGAAAGGGACAATATTTTCATGAGCTCAATCTTCTAAAATTATACAAATCTAAGCAAGTCAGAAGGAAGTCATAAGTTGGTACAGATTCAGTGGCCTTGGAAGCTTAAAGAAATTAAGTTGGGATACATATCCTTTTGTCTTTTCTACTCCACCCAAGAAATAAAAATCAAGGATTTAGAAAAAACAGGTTTTGTTTTTTAGTTTTAAGAGATAGGGTCTGTTGCCGAGGCAGGAATGCAATGGCATGATCACAGCTTGTTGTAACCTTCAAATCTTGGGCTCAAGCAATCTTCTCACCTCAGCCTCCTGAAAAAGTAGAATTTTATTATTGTTTTTTGGCCAGGGCTGGGTTTGAACCCACCACCTC